TATATTTCATTGCAATTGGAACTTCGTCAGTATTTGCTCTCATACGCAGTAACATTGACATGTGTATGTGCGAATGTCAGATGAATCAGAGCTAATTAATGGTCGGAGGTTACTGTAATATTGATGATTGACAAATGACGACGACAGGTGATGTGTGGATAAAAGGTGTACATCATGGAAGGCTCATTGAATAGCAAAACAAATTTTTGTTCTAATCATCATTTGCGTTGCAGTTAAGATAACGTAAGGGCACAGGAACAGGAAATAATGTCAATCACACCATTGTTTTTTTAATTGCCTCTGCATTGATAAGTAATCTTGGAACGTATGTTTCCGCAACATTTTTTTCTTCATCTGATGCTCTAAGTAAAAGTTCTGTCAGGCTGATAAGGTTGGTGTCGCATCCGCTTTTAAATTTACATGTGTTATATTTATAAAAGGAATGTGATGATTTTGCATTCTCATTTGAAATGAATATTTAGATTCGTTGAAGAAACGTATCTGAAAATTTTCAGAATATCACACCTGAAAGTACTTCACTCAACATACATTACGATACGTAAACCACTGACGTAGATGCGTTGAGATTGAGAACATTCTTTAGGAATCCTTTTCGCTGAAAATGGCTTGAGTGCTACACTGAATACAAATTAACACATTTCTCTTGTTCTTTTCAGTTGCTTTTGATGTGCGTCGGTGTTGGATTACTGTTTTTCTATGGTACGTGGTATGAACTGCTCATTATGGCAATTGTATCATTCTCAATATCGGTCTTAGCTACTGGATTGGGTCTAGGAATTATGTTTCTCCCAGTAAAATGGAGGATAATATTATTTTCACTGTGCTGTGTATTGGTGATAGTCGGACTCACGTGCAGCATTTTCAGTATAATCTGCAGCAAAAGTAATACGTATAAAGTAAGTTATCCTGAAGTATCAACCTAAGCACGTCGGGAGTGATAACCGATTTGATATCATAGAAAGCTTTTGGGCGTCGCCTAATAATAAACCATTATTAAATATGCCCATCAGTAAAAATGGCTATTTGATACAATCATCTGCATAATCATCTGAACGTACGATTTCGCGGTTTTTTGAAGGCATTACAATATTTGTAGAGTTATGATTTACGAAATTATAGACATAAGGTACAGTATTTTTCCGCACAGAGTCCGGCGATAAAATTCAATTTGCACAGTTGTTGTCAACATTCAATGACACACATCGAGGTTACTGAAAACTTACAGGAATAAAGTTTCGAATGAAAAGACGCCAATTCATTGATTGTGAAACTAAAATCAGTCAACAAAATTGGTGGTGCATAGTATCCACATTGTGAAGAACAAGTAAATTTGTGAATAGTTATTGTTTAAGGAATGCAAATTAAATATTCACACTACGAATGAAAACCAAATATTTTCTGCCATTTTATCATAGATCGCTTGTCCTCTTCTGTCAGACGGTGATTGGTGCAAAAAAAATTTTACTGTAAGTTTCTGATGAACGATTGAATTTCTATATACATTGCTACCCCTGTTCTTTTTGACTTGTAAAATATTGTAGTTAGGACTGCTGTAAATTGGTGAATTTTTCTGCAACACTTTAGGTATAATCTCAAAAATGATGTCGAGCAAGTGTTGCTTAATTTTTTTCCAAGCATACATATGAATGTATCGAATGTGATTACTTTTTCGAACAGTGAATATCATCTACTGACTGACGACTACGAAATTAACACGACAAATATAATTTTTACATACTACATTTATCTGTTATGTTTGAAAACTCAAAACAAATTGATGTTCAGTCATTTATATATAGATGACTGTTGACGGAAGATCCACGTGTACCGTTTTGCAGTTTTTTTTGTGCACGCATCAATATTCGCACATAGATGATATAAAAACTGCGAGATTACAACAAACGTTTATTTTACTGAACGAACACAGGTGATGATATTCTGTCTGCTCTGTTGACGTCATCGTGTCAATTACTCACTGAAGTACAAAAAAAACAGTCAGCTTATATGTGAATGAGTAATATTTTTTTAAAAGACAGGATAAATATTGACAAAATTATTTGCAGTAAAATAGTTTCTCGTAAGTTGCTGATTACATATATATATATAAATATATATATATATATATATGTTGGTTTATTTAATTACCACACTGAATCCCGAAACTGTAACTGTGAATCATCACCAACTATTACTAACGCTCGACACCGCATGATATGCCTCGTAAGCGACATGTTGAATATTGAAGATTTGTTCTTTTTGTCAACGAATAATTGACTAGTTATATGCAATGGTTAAATCATGTCAACCTGTTGCACATTTCACTCATTGTATCACGTAATTATGATTTCTTTAATTTCTATATTTACTCCCAAACTAAACAAGAATGTTTTAATAATTGCAGGTGATTTTCTTGACAGTATATATTTTGATGAAGAACAGAAGACAGAAAGATTACTCTGCCCTTTATGTGACTCTGATTATTTCGTTTGAATAAATGATATTGGTGGCGATTTTGAAATTACATGTAAATTATTTCTTTCATTGCCTTCCTTAGACTGTTCTTGTTCGTTGAAGCAATTAGAAACTATGATCACTGATTGATCGTTGTTCATAAAATACTTTGAAAAATGTAAACATGTTCTTATGTGCTTACGGAGAATACTTCACACGTCAATACAAACTGTAATGAGATTGATTTGTAATTTATGTTCTTTCGGGAACTCCATGTCGCTTTACTCGGGATGCCGAACATTTGTTCAAGGCACGATGGGGAAAAACTGAATGATGGATCGCCTACTGTATACCACATGCTTTTTGATGTTGTTATATGTCATGGTTCAGACCCAAATGATGTTCATTTTCATGCTGATTCTATTTGAATGTTGATGTTAGAAGTATTGAAGTATTCGGAATGTGTGTAATGTCTATAGAGCTTGTTGTAGGTCTAGAACTACCAAAGTTTCATCTGAGTTATTTTTATAGGTAACCCAATAGAGTAATGAAAGTTTTTAAGGAAATCTAAGACGTACTTAGCCTCAAGAGTCATTGACGATAGCCCAAGTTTGCTTCATGTCATACAATATTATAACGGTCAGGCATTTGACACAGCTTATGCGAGCTCCGTTGTCGGAACTGGCGGATAGATTGTCATTTGATGAAAGAATAGCCAGTAGAGGATTTCTACGGTTCACAAATAGCCTAAAAACGTACCGTAACGTAGAGACGATCTTTCACTTGCAATCAGGGCAGTGAAATGGTGTAACGTAAAAATCAAATGCTGTATGTGTCCTGATGCTCACGCTGTTAACAAATGCGTACGATTTCCAGGGCTCATATTTCAAAATTGATGGTCTATTTCTGATAGCAAGGATATATGCTTTATCTGATTGGGTAAATGGCATAATGCAAAGCACTATAACGTCGACATGTATGAGAAGAAACATCACACTCTGCTGCGCCTTGATTCAACAGCCATAAGCTTGTTGGATAAACGTTGTACGTTGAATGGTTGAAAATTCACAAAATCTTTGAACAGTAAAGTGTGTTTAGGAGTGATTATAGTATGGTTATGATCGGAAAATGTCAAGATTGCTTGGCGAGCTTTTCCAAATAACGTGTCTGATATAAAACTGATAAGTTAAGAATGTCTGAAGTCACTGGTGTTAAAGTAGAACAAAGCGTCAATGATAGTTCAGACTGAAATTGGTGGTAATAAATGGACAAAAGACAAGAATGTTTCGTATAAAATATACCTTTTAGATCGGTCTGTGCTGTGACTGAAAAAAACTGCACTGTTGTTTGGATTGAGTAATAACTTTCTCCGTGCTTTAAAGACGCGTCTTGAACCAGTTTCATTTCAAAACGAAAGATTTCAGTAAATAACAGTTCTAAATTCATCACAGTTTAGTCTGTGAAATTCTGTGAAGACATGTAAGACATTCTGAGTGAACAGTCCACGTTTTCAACTGGAAATTGGTAGGAAATAACAAGACTGAATAATAATGAACAATATGAGCATTGACTTTGTAGAATACAGAACGAATAATCAGACATACTTTTGCGTAATTATATGTGTACAGATTGTTAATTTACAGTTGCACAGATTGCAAATTTATAACATTTTTCAAGTTCGCTATCTATGGTCGTAAACACCATCTAACTGAATGTTCGCTGATAAGCGCCTCATAAATCGTACCTAGAAGTGTGTATGTATGCGTGCTGACTGCCTCAAAGCAACTCATTCCCATTATATCCAGACGAAAAGAACTAAGTCATAATTAAGTGGAGGATAGTTTGCACATTTGCCTTATTCAATTAACTTCACTTTGTTTGTAAGCTTTTCGAATTCACATGTGTCTGCATGAGTGAACGATAATCTATAGCGAATATCATTTACATATCTCCACCATCAATAAACCAGGTCTCCAACAAGTTTAACTAATACATAAATATTTATCAATATACAGCTTGAAAATTACAATGATGAAGTCGCTTTCATTGAAACACAGTGACACGACATCCAATCCATCATCCGGCAGTAAGTAATCAAGCATCACTTGCCACAACATTGTAGGTAAATTATACAGATTACTGTCTAATGTTACAAAAACTAAGCGTCAGAATTCATTGTTATCTGTAACTCATCACACAAAAATATGCAAATGTTCATATTCATGGTATAAAGGAACTCAAAATGAGGACCTTCGGAATAACTAAATAAAGAAAGTTATAATTAAATTATGTTTCATCTACTGTATACATTCTTTAATTCATTATGTGAACTTAAAATAATCAGAAAGTAATTCATCTTTCTCATTTCTATGTGTCATAACGTGTTGATTGATTACGTTTTCTGTATTTACAACTGAAATACAGAATCAGTTTTTTAGTAAGAGTTTTTTGTTAATTATTCGGTCTAAAGTTTAGTAATAACCTAATAAATTGACAATCAATATAGATTATAGAGTAACTGGTGTATGCGGTTATATTGTATATATTGAATTGTGTATTCAATTGTAATAACTAAGCGCTGAGAAAGTGTGATGTGAGTTTGTACATTTTAACAACCTGATATCATCAAGGCTTTATTTTTTAAAATTTCATCGTGACAATTTACTGATTTGCATGGATTACTTGTAAACGAGTAGATATAAAGATAGATAGATCGATAGATAGAAAGATAAGTCGACCTATTTGTGGACAAATCGATTTGTAAGTAGATAGTTATACAGTGAGTTGTAATTGCTACCTATCATCGATTGGCACTAGGCCACATCGGTAAAAAATACGTTGACATCAAATTACGTTTCTGACGTCTGAGACATGTTTATGAATCCATACCTGTCAATATACATTAAAAAGGTGAAGGAAATAAGTGAAAAAAAGCTCTTATATATTTATATAGTCCATTTATGTACTTGTCATGGTTATTGGTATGTAACATTTCAGCCAATTCACTCGAAGATGGATTTCGTGATTTTATCCAATTTTAATATGTCAACCATGATAACCTGTGCATTTGGTGAAACGACAAAAGAAAATGACTCTGGTTTGTGTGACAGTACAAATTCTTGCATGTAATTAATCAACGTTAATTTAAAAATCACCAATTCGCCTGACAGATTCAATGCAACTACATGGCAAAATCCCTGTCGTATATCTGGTGTCGCCTTGATGTAAGTTTTTCAATCCTCATTTTTATTAACTTTTATATTATATTTTCATACTTCAGAGGTACGGCTCTAATATTGGCGCTCATCATTATACTCATCAAAGCGTTACACACCGCATCTACATGGAATAACATCCTCATGGTTATAACGGTTAGCTGAATATTATTTCCAATGATATTTGTATATATTTGTATATATTTTTACTGAGTTACCAGAAATTTCATTTTGATTGGATAGTCGTCAAGATTCACTCGAATATACTGCAGAATTACGAATGTGCTTATATAAGAATATCAAAAGAATCAGTCAGGGATAACTGTGTATTAGCTGATACATAAATGACGATGATATGTGGAGTGCGTCTCGTGTGAATCAGTATAAACAGATGAATAAAATCTTGATAGAATTACCGTTTGCTTCGTAGTTGTGATAACGTCAAAGCACATAAGCACATAACTAAATAGATTCCGTTCTCCTAAATTCAAACTTCTCCTGTATACATGGTTATTCTTCAAGCTTGTTTCTGTTACGACGACTTTGTCAGCATTTGATGCGACAAGCAGGAGTTATGTTCAGCTTATAAGACTGCATATTCTCTCATTGTTTTTTGGATGTTCATGAAAACATGAATATGCTGCAACTCATATGCAGATTCATAGGGAAAAAGCACTATCGGTTATCAATACGGTTAAACTTTATTAAGAATGCCTAACATGCATTTCAAAAAGAATACTTGAGAACAGTGCTTGACCTGTTATTCGTTAGTAATTTTTGTCATTATTACGGCGTTCAGTAATGCACATACTATAAACTGACACGTTTCTTGTTTACTTTTGCAGTTGATTGATATGACTGTCGGAGTTGGATTATTGACTGCTTTTGGATATTGGTATCAGCAGCTCATTGCCGCAACTGTGCCAGTCTCAACATTGATCTTTGCTATTATATCAGGTATAAAAATGAAAGGGTCTGCAGGCAAATGGAGGGTACTACTATTTTCATTTTTCTTGGTATTGGTGACAGCTGGAATTGTCTTCAGCATTTTGAGTATAATTTACATGAATGGGCGTAAGCAAAATGTAAGTTGTTCGTGAAGTATCAAATTCAGTGTATCAAAAGTGATTACTGAAGTGGTTTCGTGCGATAATCATGAATGTAAATTATTAGCCTAAAATTATGAAAAACACAACAAAATGAATATTTCCCAAAATAATCTGTTATGTTTTCCAGTTTGTTATTCAGAAAACAATATTTTAAGAATTATTATTTTTAAATTGTATGATAGGAGTAACCTTTACTTCTATTGAACGATGACCGAGGAATTACGATAAATCTGCGCTACTGCTGTCATCATTTCATCAAATGATTGAAGTTGAGGCCTCTTGGTTACAGTAAACATAAGGAAAAGAACTATGAAATGAAAAATATACTTATTTTTTGTTAGACCAATCAACACGAACAACTAATAGGATTGTCTAGTATCACTATCGCGAAAGCGAAGCATACTAAATTGTGACTTGACACAGTGCATGCTCATATCAGTCATTACATTTATTAATGCATTATGTTTTACTAATGCGAATAAAATGTTCACAAAATGATATGAAAATAAAATTTGTTCTAGATTGTGTTTGCGATTCTATCGGCAGTTTGTTGGTCCGGTGCAATGTTTATCGTAAGTTTCTGAAGACCGTCTGAATTTTTATTTACATACATATAAATATATATTCATAACTCATCTTGTTCATTTGGAATTGTAAAATATCATACCCCATACTGAAACTATAAATGTAACGTAGACTTTTGAGTGGAACATCGGTAGTTGCAACGTAATCAGATAAATGCTTGTAAATGAGATGCTAACTTGTGAATAATCTGACGGGTCAATTACAAGATTTAAATCATGTTAGCGTGTAAGCCACTGTTCAATCACTCCGCAAGTGAATATTCTTTCCATTAAACCTGTTTGATTTCTTCATTAATGTTTTTACAATTACAGATGATTACATTGACTACGTTCTATTTGACAAAACATGTCATATTGAAAGACTACTCTGTAGTTTATATGACATTTATACTTTCGGTGGAATATATGATAATGTTGATTATTTCACATCTACATGTCAATTATTTTTATTATTGTTGTTGTCAATAAGTGCTTTCAATTCCAAGCAATTGTGGACAATAATAAGAAATTGTTTGTTTTTCATAAAATACTTTGAGGAATATAAACTTGTTCTTGATCATTTTTGGAGAAACTTTTACATGTCATCAAAAGTTGTAAGATGAACGAATTGTTCCCAGTTTTTATTCAAAACTCTAATGTCAATAATTCCTCAAACTACGATATCTATTGCGTCTACAGTCCATTTCAGTTTTATGTATATTTGATCTAAAGTGACGACATCCAGATATTATATGATAAGCCAATCGAAATGATGCTGACAGGAGAGCATGCTACTTGGAAGGTTTCTTCGACTGCTTCCCCTGTTGATCATAAGAATTTCTCGCTGAGTAGGAGTACCTGTTATTCAGTGACTACATTTTGCGTAGATGAAATCGCAAGGAACAGTCCTGAGTTGTGCAGATACCTAGTCACGCAAATGTTGTATGTATTTATATGAATTGCATCAGTCACAGTGATGTGATCAGTTCTCAGTTTTTTTAAATATGTTGCGATTTGATTTCGTGTGACTCGAGGATCATTTCATGCGTGTGTAATTATGATATAGTCGAGCTTTCTATTCGTTCAGATAAGCATTAAGACTTGCATTTCATTGCTAGTAAAATAATGTGTGGTTATGTTTTGTCAGCAAAAGCCTCAGATTCAATAAGGTTGAACTGTACTAGAGTCCCGAAAATTTCATCCAAAAGTTAGATTCTGGTGTGTAAATGAAAACAGTTAGTTTCACCGGGATCTTGTATTTTTACTCTGATTTTATCTAATATGATATGTATGGGAAAATCATAGTCACTTTACACATTTGAAATCATTAATCAATCATCATTGTTAGACCACCATTAGAAACCTGGAAGCACTGGACGGCCGTTTCGTCCTAGTATGGGACTCCTCAGCAGTGCGCATCCACGACTCCTGCTCCTCGCAGGATTCGAACCCGGGACCTTTGGCATTGTAGGCGAACGCCTTACCATCGGACCACTGGGCCGGCATCCAACGGTGTTAATGTCTAACTCTGATTGATCTAGGGATTTTGCGCGACCTCACCCATTTTTTGCGTAAAAACGCAAACCTCCAAAACTGTGCCCCAATAGTCACTTTAGTTAAAGATGATGAAAACTGCTTATATCAGATACATAGTATGTGTATTTAGGTGAATATCACTGTCTTACCAATTTTTTTATGGTTCCAATTAGAGGCTTCTTTGTACTGCGTTTGATTAGTTTCCTCAACATCAGCACTTCTTGCCTAGTTCTTTCTTGGGCTCCTAAATTCATATGAATTATTACATTGATTGTCGATAATCAAAAATTCATTATTTTTTGTGAAATAGTTTGGTGAATTTAAAAAGGTTCTTTACTTTTTATGGAAAATATTTTACTCATCTTTCCAAATTGAACTGTTAGGCTGGTGTTTTCTTCGAATCATAAAAATGTTTAGGCTCAATATCTTTCGAATAGAAAATTATTACTTGAACAAGAGAAACATGACAAATAAATGGTTTTCTGTTTCTTGCTATTCGAAGGTAGCTGACACCTTGACGTTAAGCTCGGCTTGCCAATCGTGATGACGCAACTGAGCTTAATTGACTGAAACATACGTTCCCAAATTTCCCATCATTCCCGACAGGTCGATGACACTAAGAGCAGCTAGTAAGGTGTTTCTCTTGGACAGCCAGCATCTGCAGCGATGCTACCTTCTCATAAGGAAGTGAGGGATTTGAAAAGCTGAACACTTGAAATGGTACACCTCACCTTATATCTCGGGCGATAAGGGCTGCCCTGTAGGGGCTTTACCGAGAGAAGATACTACTCAAAAAAACCTAAAGGAATGGGCTCAGGCAGTTGTACCTTGGCTCCACCATAACTACTCCAGGTCGTTAAGATTGACGCCAATCTACCTTCTTTTTCAGTTTCCTCGAAAAACATCGTTCCACAATGTGTGCAGCCGGGAATGGACATCCGCTTTCAAACAGGTAAAGGCACGCGAAACTAGATTGGTCACAATCAGATCCTTCTTACACAACTGAATAAATCTTTTATCACTCGAACAACCCTTCTTTCGGTTTTTCATCACACCACGCCACTAAATCGAATAGTGTGAGCTCAGGAAACATTATTCGTGGTCTGTTGATCCCCGCACAGAATAACATATAAGGGGTTTTAATTTTCGGACCCAAGATAACCCGTGCGTACATAGTATGTTAGGTCTTCGAAACGCGCATACAATATCCAAGTAAAACCATCAATTCGAACTCACTTGGTGCAGTAACAGACACAACAGGGTTTATCCCTTGTGTTTGTGGAAGCTTTGATGCCGCTTCTCGTGACCTCTCCGGCGTCGGTATAGTATTCAGTCCTGATGACGAAGTGGCTGTCTTACACTGCATCCGAGTAGTTAGTCGCCCGAGCGTTATTCCACTGCACGGGAAAGTAAGGCTTCGGTAAGTTGGGGACACTCACCGTCACCTCATGAATATTCTAGAGTAGTAGTATTGCAAAAGTAATTTTCTAGTTATGTTTTCTCACAAATAATATAGAACGCACGTAAGTGAGATGTAATAGTTAAATGAAATAATACGAATAAATTTGATTTTGTGGCATTCTTGGTATCCACTCACATTAGATGATATTTTAGAATCCAAATGATCATGAAATCCACATAACTATAACAGACTGATTAATATCATGGTTGAGTAATAAGTTTGTAGAAGTGTTGTAAATAAATTTAATTTGCGGACGACCATAGAACATCAACAAAAATATCTAATTTTTCCTGTTAGTACAAACAGAGTCTAAGTCGCCGACCAGTATTATTGAATCTAGCATATCGTGGATTTCCAACGCTCCGGTCACATTTTTATTTATTCTCCTCATGTGAACCACCAGTTCTCAGCGTTGTTTTTTTGGTCACCCCGTTTAACTTTAGGTCGAAGTTTCTTAGTAATGACTTGTCTTGTGAAAAGGTTTGATGCATTGCACATTGTGTGTCTTATGTTTTTTCAGAGATTCTTCCTACAAACTGTGACAGAATCTGGTTTGTTCTTCCTCACAGTGTGTTGTTGCTGATGGTTTCTAACCAAAGTATTTTGCGAAAAAAACTGGTCAAAAATACTCATATATTCTGTTTGAAGACTTTGCTAGATCCTCAAGTTTTTTTCTCTTACAGCACCACTAGATTGACATTTGTATTGAAAACTGTGACTCTGGTATTGTTTGACAGTTATTGTGAGTTGCAGATGTTGTTCGATTGATGAAATGAAGCCCTTGATTTGTCTATCCTCACCAGGCACATCGACACCAGGTCATTCTTGCTCATCAATGATTCTGAACGGATATGTCAAGGATTTTACATTCTTTACATCTTCTCTATCACGTGTTGTATCTCGATTTTACTGTTGTTAATGCTGAAAACTACTCCTGTTGAAGCTGATGCTTTACTTTTTGTTTAGTCCTACATTTGATTTTGCGTGCGCTAGAGAACATTTAGTCTGTTTGCAAATTCTGGATCATCCATTTAGTGATAGAACTCGAAAAATATCATCAAACTTAGTGTTTAATTAGTTAACTGATGTTTTATTGCAATAGCTGGATAAGAACATTAGTTGAGGTTGTTCAGTTAAATGATAAAAAAAATAACTTCGAATGATTTGATGCAATTACTATTGAGCAACTACTTCAAGTCATTGCGTTCCATTGCTATGAGTCAGCAGTCAGCTAAAACGCCGAATTTCGTACATACGTCAATCACTGCAAGTTGACGTACAACACTAATAATGACTTCTGAATCTCTGCCATGTTATGGTTTGGTTTATTTCAAAATTTTCTGTACATCACAAGGTAGTTGGTGATTAGGTATATATAACACATGTCCTAATCACCTCAACCGAAGAAGACTAGCTAGTTTGTCATTGATTAATAAATTGTTCCTAAGAATCGTTTCCTAAAAACAGCATGTCATACTCAATTATAGTTCGATATCAAAGGAATACCGATATCGTGTCAGAAGAGAAGGTTGAACTTACGACGATCATAAAAACCGAAATGATGGCAACACAAACGCAAATTTCAAACTTACAGAGTACGAATTATCGGAAAGTACTGTGAAACAATCACTGGTCAGACAAGTTATACGGCATAATGTTTCCAATAAACATATCATAGAAAAACATGATATAAACTAAAGGGTCAGTGGAGTGACTAGTGTCAATTAGGTATTCAAAAATACGTCTTTAAATGACTCTCAACTATCACTATTATTGCTGTTATCAATTTTATCACACGTAATCTCGTTTTTGATAATTGTACTCGACAGTGTTTTTGAATAGCCTATATAGTAATGGGAATCGCAACTGTTCTTGCATTGTCCCATTTACCGAAAATCAATACTAGCTGAAATCATGTAGGGGATTTTCAGTAAACTGTCATCGTTTTCAACTAGAAAAAGATGGAAAATAACAAGTCTGACTGATAATGAGCAAAATTATCACTGATAAAGTAGAACACAGAGCAAGTAATTCTACATCATTTTGCCTATTTATATGAATAAATATATATAACTCACAGTTGCACTTATTGCAAATATACCACATTCCCACAGTTTATTGGATATGAAGGTAAACGTCGTCTAAATAAGTGCATGCTGATAACGATTTGATAATCTGCGCCTCAATATCTGTATGTATACATGCTTACTGGCTTATAGCATGTCTATCCTATCATATACAGACAAAGCAAACTTTGTCATTATCAAAAGCAGGAGAGTTGACCTATCCTCATGCTCCAATTCACGACACTTTGCTTGCAAGCATTTCGATGTATTATCTGTCTGCTCAGATGAACGATAATCTATACTGAAAATCGCTTATATTTCTACAGCCACTAAACTATGTCTCCACCAACTATAAATATTGCATAAATGCATTTTGAATATTTTAATGATAAAGTCGCTCCCATTGAGACACAG